TGGATCTGCATGACTGCGGAGGAAGATTTTACCATGTGACTTACTTATCTGATTCATCAGATCAGCGCGCCGTAACACTTACAATGAGTATCTGAGAAGTATAAAATCCCTGCATTGGTAACAGTAACACATAATCACATAAATCTAAATAGGTACAGTATTATGATGTCTCTTGTCTTAGAGCATTTCTACTCTGTAGCTATTGTGTACGCATATCAAAGTGGAAGATTATCAGTCATTCTCTAAACTAGGTACAATTACAATAACAATAAATGTGTGAGTATTGATCGGATAATACCATAAGTAGAATGTATCATAGAGTTGTGGATATATACTGTACTGTAAATTGCTGTTATATTATGTAACTACTAATAATATCATCTTAAAAAATAATAATTCCAACAGCCTAGCCGTAAAGCTTACAAATACCTTTCTTAGCGTAGACAGAACGTATGATTGTTACTGCAGAAATCTAGGGAGGAATACGTCATCGCTGTACAAGTCTCTGATGACATCTAGCGTGACTCACGTTGCTTGCGAATCTTGGTTCAAGAAGCCTACTTTGACATCGGCCCGTTCCATACTAATAATAACAAAGAGAATAGATGAGCAACCATATCATCATAGTCAAGGACCAATGAAGAACGTTCACAACAGGCGCGTCTACCGATGTCAGGGCCGGGGTTCTGATAGGTAAACGTCGCATGCTGTGGCCACGATGCGCTTTCAATTCAGTAGTCCATCTATCCTATTCACCACAGGCCCGAGTGTGATAAGCTACAGTCGGCGTTTCGGAACGGATTACGAACGTTCATACAAGTAAATCATTTAGATCAATCAGGCCCCCGAACACAAAGTAATTTTGAGTATATCATGTTCACCACAAAGACAGCTTTTTTTTTTCGGTAACGGGTTTTGATTAATTTACACCCTATGTGCTTTTAAACCTCCGATTTACACCTAGTGGCAGCGTACCTTCAGATACACATTTAATACTATTTGCATTGTTTACACGTGAAAAGATTTACCTGATAAAAGTTAAATGACTGAGTATCACTTTTTGTCAATTCACTTCTTTGTTCTAACCAATCTGCTATATGCGTGCAACCATGACGTAAGGATGTCATCTCTTGTATGTCTGTCAATGCAGAGTATTCGATCCATTGTATATACGCATCATCCATATTCCCATATTGCCCTACGACTCCATAATGAATAAATCTAAAGACTTGTTGCCGGTCGTCCAATCAAGAGGTCTTGGTGCTTTACAGCGATAACAGAATGCATTTGTCTCGGATCTTAATGACCGCGTACATAATTCCTTGCCATTGTCAAGTTTAATTAGACAATATTTTTATTCACTTGCATTGTATGTAATTCGATGGTAACCAAACATTTGTGGTAAGAATATTTGGATGCTCACGTAATTAGTGGAAATTATGTCATAAGTCAATAATGATCAAAACAACTAAACAAACATAATAATTTGTACTTGATAGTTTAACATCTCATCTGTTATCCCGAGTGGAATAAATTCCTTTTCGGTAGTAGGTAAACCTAAGCCACGTCAATACAATCAAATGGAATTCATTCCAATAGGCATAATTTGCTGAAATTGAGATATTTTAATAAACTCATCGAGTTGCTTATTGTTGCTAGTCCATCCATTGGATAATTTTTTATGTCCGCAAATGCACTACACAGGACTATATCGGAGTATTCCACATGCGGTGCAGAGAAAAACAACCGTGAAACCATGTAATAGTTGTCATCGTCATCCTTGGTAAATTCTTTTATGAGTCTGTTGCGCTCCTCAAGGCATCTTGAGTGTCGTCTAAATCGACTGACACCCAGTACTCGTGTGTTGGAAGTGAGTAATTCTAGCAAACTCACTCACAAATGTTGGTGTACACATTTAATCACTTCCAAGTAATACCAACGCTATTGTTTTTATAAACCCCATCACCAATATTTGCTTGCAATAGTTGTCGGTTTGACTTGACTCTATGTTGGTAATTTGTGAGTAAGGAATTCATTTAAATCCATACTCATAAGATGATTATTAAGTTGTCAATTACTGAATGTTGAATGTCATTAATAACAACAACATAGTTTAGAATAAAAACCTTTTATCATTCTTCAACAATTATTGTGTTACCTCTCAGGGGCAATAAATATTTTTACATAACATTACTATATCAGTAAGCATTGTCATATTGCATACCACAAATATTGCACGCTTTTATTTTAAGATATTGAAATAGGTTATTTAACAAGGTATGGCATTTAGTGATCATGTCTGGCAGAGTTTTTTCTTATTCATAGTAGTTACGTGTAGAAAGCTGTTATGCGATGGCATCGTATCATTCTTCAATTGCCGTGTTCTTGCGCTAGCTAGTTATGTGATAATAGCGAGATAAAATGTGCTTATTCGAACTGGGTCTATCCAGAAAATTCTTACGACATGCATAATTTATATCACTTTTATATGTAGCTTACATTCCTTGCCAAATAAACAATATTAACAGCAGTGACGCAACGGTGTTTATTCTTAACTACTCGAAGTCTTTGCGTAAAAATGGATAGCAAAGGCTATTTTTGCAAAATAGAATATAATATTATTTCGGGTTACTACTATTACCATGAATTCGTGATTTGTTGTTTCCACATTTGTTTAACTTCACGATATAAACGTCAATTTTGCTATACAACTTTTATTATTTTTCACAAGTTCGTTATTCTAAAAAAACTTACACAAAACATAAAACTTTTTTCAAGCAGTTCAAAGCAATATTGAGCACTATATATCGTCTCGTAAGTAAAAACAGTCCATAGTGTCTCTTTTTTAGATAATGAATGTTTAGCAATTTCTCTTTTAGTGAATTCTTTCAAAGTTTTGGTAAATTAATCTATTCGTAAAAACAAACAAACAAAAAACAAATTAAATATTTATAAATTAGCATTGGTGGTTTACTCACATCTAAACTAATTAAGATCGTCTGTCGGGCGATACACCCATGCCATGCTTGCGATACCAACAAAATAGCTGGTAATATTAAGCAGACATGCAACGAGACCGGTTGTAGCTAACCACTTAGCGTAGTCGTCTTGGTCATTGGCATCTTTCCAGGTCACAACCCAAAGCGAGATGCCAATTATGAGATTATAAAGTACGTAATAGAAACCTTGCTTTAACCATACAAGATCAATCCTAATGCCCGGTCGATCTACGGTCGCTTCAAGTGGATCAGAGTCGGGCCATATTGAATTGACTAAGGTGATGTAATATTCTTTTCCTGTTTGTAAATATGCATATTTTGTAAATACAGGTATGCCAAATTTGACTGCACATTATATTTGTTGACAATAATGTTACCTAAAAATATTCCTAGTGAATTGATTATTGTATATGGTGCAGAATAATTTCTGGCTGTAATACATACGACCAACAGACGTAGCACAGATTCTATTACACACCAGGCAATTAGAGCCGGACGCTTTTTCGTTTGGGCATCCTATCAATGGAAATTAATGCGAGTATGTTAGAAACATCAACTTTGATATTGACGATATTACATCATCGACTGTCAATTATACGTTTCCGGGCGGGCGTACACTTACTTGTATCAGTAAAATTAGTATTATTATTATAGCTGACATTAATATAGTATTGGTAATAAGAACTAAATAAACACTTATGAGCACCCATAGCGAGACGTGACTACTATTATTATCGCTATTTGCTTCTCCGGTTTCCGTGGTAGCAATAACACTTTTTGCTACTGGGGGAGCATTGTTCTCATTTGATTTTACGTCTACAGATACATGGGGAAGATCAATTTCTTCAAGTTCTGGCGGACTGAGTGAGGCCCCATATTCGGGAGGTGGAGTTGTGAGGAGTTGCTGGGAGGTCGACATGATAAGTGGCAGGTTTAAGACAAGTAGGGTTGGGAGAGATATCTAGTGGGAGGGGGAAAGATATTTGATAAGCGTCATGTTATATACCCGTGCGGAACTTTCTGTTATGGCAGACTCAGTTTCTATGGCCCTGTCAAACATAGATTATTTGGGTATAGACCCGTCCATTATATGCAAGCCATCGGTAGTATAATTTTTAATTGATGTAATGTCTTTCTAATACTACTGCCGATCACCTATTAATTAATTACAAAGGCTCTGCCAATTATGTAGCAGAATTTGAGCACGATCCAAAAAGCAAACCCTACAAGTGCAAGCACTATATTTCCCTCTTAGTTCGATCTCAAGCTTATAAGATTATTATTAAGTATTTCACTCTCTGTGAATGCCAAACTCTCCATAAATGCAAGTGGCCATATGGTACCAATGCATTGGATTTAGAGAGAGTTCACTGTATTACATGCCGCTTATTGTCTACGCTGGATTCGTTACGGGCTAGAACAAACACAACACATACTTCAACACCTTGCACCGTCAAACAAACAAAGCCTTTTTTTTGTTATAAAGGAGACTGAATTTTTAAAAGAAAAGCAAATTAAAAAGTCGCTATTCTTATTTTAATGAATGGTAATTGTAATTCTTTCGAACGAATATGAAAACTTGCGGTTTGTCAAGATAACAAAAACATGACTTTGTTATTTTGTTGTTGTTCAGTAGATCAAAATGCGTGTAGCTTCAATTTGACCTTTGGCAAATTAAAAACCACTTCATATGTATGTCATAGTAAGACATAAGTACCTTACATGTAAATGTAACACATTCCCCTATGTTGCAATACAACGATATGTAACATCCAGTAATGCATTTACAGTCGGAGGTTTCCAAATTTGGACAATGTAGAACCTAAGAATTAGGAACATATCGCTATCGTTCTCAATCATCTGGAAAAGTTTAAAATGTATCAACAATAAATGAATTTACTATTTCCTTAATAACACGTATTTTGCCAAATGGTTAATGATTATTCTCTCACCAAAATCAGCGATAAATCAAAGACGTATTACGGGGCCCATGTGTTCATTTCAGAATATTCTATTACATTAAAAGGTTAGATGCATTTTCACAGATTGGTATGCGATCTTTCAATGCGGGTTCTTTTAATATGCTCGTGATGTTGAAACTTCAAATCACGATTTTTTCAGACTTTAATCAGAGCATTCGTCAATTTTGATTAATCGGTAAATAGGATGCCAACGTGCATAATCAAAGAATTTGTCTTGTTGCAATTTCTAATTAAAACTAACTCCAGTACAATTGCTTAAAAAACTTGTTCATATGCTGGATCAGACAAGGATACCTGACTTAAAAGTGGAAGAACTTTTCAAATGCCAGCAACTCCGTCGTTATTAGTAAGTCTTGCAGACTTTTTTAACGACAACCCCCGGTTGTGTGCCTTTCATATACAGAATAATTCTCTGGAGAATTAAGCAGTACAGATAATGCACGAAAATGCCTAGTCATTTCCGTTATTCTCTTTGATGTTGCCATCTTTGATTACACAGCGACACACATAGTACAGATAACTCTGCTGCCATAACCAATATTATAATTAATGCATAAACAAGCAGTTAGTCATATAATTATATAATAGTTAACGGAACAATTACAGTATATCTATACGTAATTTCGCTAGCAAGCATTTCTTATTCTCGAATCTTAGGATCACATCTTCATATCTTTCAATCATTCCTTTTCTTATAGATAATTTCTTTGACATTATAAATCATTTTATTATTAGAATAGTTTAATTCAAAATACGTGAAAGCGTTAAATCCTTCTATCGCTTAAAAATAATTGAGCTTGTCCATTGACTATTTCAATTGGCATATACACTTGTTCATAACATGTTTCGTATTAAAATACAGTAAATTACCCCAACTGATGGGCAGCGTAGCAGTTTGACGAGATGTCACACATCCGACAATAAATTATTCTCTGTAGAATCTCTAACCATTATTTGCATTTACGTAGTAAAATATTTGTTAAATTTTTTGCCAAATATTGATTGAGTACTTATTCTTCAAGGCATGAGAAATGAAGAGGTTATGTAAAACAACATGATCGGCGTTCTCCAAATACACACTTTCCATAAATGTAAGCACATTGTCGTCATTTAGAGGCTGATAGATTAGTTGTAGTCATAAAAATAGCCGAAATTTTCCCAGTCAATATATATCCGTCACTTGTAATGTCGGTCATTGGTTCTTTGCTTCTGTCAGCCATTTTTCTGGCTTAGGAGTAACTACACAGGAACTTTGCCTCTAAAATAACGACCTAAAAAACATGACTAGACTTACAATATCGAGACCTATGTTCTACAATCTTTCGCTTAATAACATCACCCAATTTGTACAAGAATAGCGATAAAACCACGTCAACTGGATGTCCTTAGTTGATGAAAGATATTTTTCCTAACTTCTCATTACAATGGTATTTGAGAAATATGTTATTAGTAATATTGGTTAACATGGTTTAATATGATAATAAAACTTTATCTGAACAATAATCACTAACCATATTTTATATTATCGCTAGATGATGATTTTTTCTGCTAAAGTGCCGTATTAATGACATCATAACAGACGATTGACAAAATCAATATCATAATCAACGAGATGAAATGATTTGCAATGAATATTGTAGTTGATTTGTCCTCAGGCCTTTTTTCAGACTATGAGAAGCTTTACGAAAGCGGCAAATCTCAATTTATGTTGGAAAGGAGCCAAGTAGCAAGATATTTCTTGCTCATAAACTAGTTTTGTGTTGTGTACACGAAACCCATTCTTTGAGAATAGCCTAACCGAAAATGCGGAGATTCAAAAGGCCGCTATGACACTGGAAGACGTGTCACCTGATGTTTTTGAAATTCTGCTTAGGTAAACCTCATAGGTTAAAACATGAATAACATTCTGAATTATCAACTGTTGTGTTTAAGTTTAGGACTTGTCTCAGTTCAGAACCCAGCCAGAACTCAGTTGTCTTGGTCCAGAACTGAGACAGTCCCCAACTGAGTTACAACAACAATACTAATATTATAACTAATGCTAAATCTAATATTGCTTCTTTTGTAGGTTCATCAAATTTCTATGATTTATGCAAACATGCAGGTTGGATTAGTCTTAGCTAGCAAGTTTGAAATGCTTAATCTTCTCATTGCAGTTGAAATTTATTTGATTCAAAAACAAAAGGAATGGATTCAACATAATATTGTCACAGTTCATAAGTGTGCTCTCTCTACTACTCCTTTGAAAGAACTTCTGGTTTTACACCCAGATATTAATAAAGAGTTTTACAAAATAATTATTTAAAGACAAAGGGATTTTTTAAATCACAGTGAGATTAGAACATTAATATTGTGTTTAGAAATCTCATTAATAAAGCTGAAATAGATAGTAAGTTTGTTTGTATTAAATTTTTTGTCCAGATATTTTTGCCTTTTGTTTTGTAATGGTACATCATTATCCTGCTTTCTCTTCTTAATATTCGTTCTTCTTGATAAATTTCATAAGTAATTTTTTCTTGATCTAGATATTCCTGGAGTGTTTGGGTATCATTGGTTTTGAAAATATATGGAGTAATTTTTTCTCCTTGAGCTTTTTTAGAATGCTTCTAATAGTGCTGTAATTCTTTGGTTCCATGGTGGACTTAATGTAAATGAGTTTTATATTTATATTTTTATAGGTAGAGGTAATCCTATATGTAATTTCAAGTAAAGTCTATCTTAATCAACTTGAACATTAATTACATTTACCATTATATTAATTTAAAAACATAAATTTGTGTATATGTGTGATAATCAAAATGTCATTAGTCAAATTAGTTGTTACGATCGGGGATTGGATGGGGGTTTTTGGGAGAGCGATTTTTCTTTTCGTATAGGTACAGTATGTTTGCCGACAGGGGGATGTTACCAGGCTTAGCTCGTACTATCACCCTTACTACAATAGTTGTGCAATTAAGGCTGAATTAAGCCTCAAGTGTCCTATTTTAATTATGCGCGCTTTCACTCCCTATCTATCCGAGTTCAAACACTCGTGAATACAAATAAGGGTACTTCTAATAGAATAATAACAACAATTATTCTATTAAAGAATCGAAGGGAAATGATACTATTTTAAAATTTAAACAGGGCTATCTTCGATTTGTTTGTCGACTAGTCGGTGCCGTCACTTGTTTTTACTAGACTAATTAAACAATAATTGTCTCGATAATTAATTATGAACTCTCGTTCCGTTATTCACGTAATTGATCTAGCCGACCTTACTAGCTTGATTAAATCAATGCTGAGCCGTTTATTGGAGTGTCCGGTCGAATAATCAATTATTTCGACGATAGAATATTAAATTATGTATACTTGTAATGAAGGATTGCGGAGAATATTACTAAGCTCAGTAATATTTTATTTATTTCAACAACATTGGCAACATGAAGATTTGGTGATGGAATATGAGCTACTTATATATCTTCGAGCGTTGCGGAAAAAACGTAACGCTCTTTTAGCTAATTCCAAATTCAATTATAATACTTTGTGCTGTTGCGGATTTTTCGACACGCCATTACTAATTTAATTAGAAGGAGGAGGCGCCACGCTCTGTCGATATTAGCTAAATCCCAAGTGTCGATTACTATCTGCTCTCCCGCAGTAGTCGGCACGACACCTTACACCGCCACAATTTATACTATCACGCTTTGCACAAACTATCCAGTTGTTTAATATAAGCAAATGACTAAATAACGAGCTTATCAACAGAAAACACTTCCCAATCAATCCACGTAAAGTTATAACTAGCAGATCTGATTGGAATTTGATAATAGCTTGAATTACTAGCGGAAGGGTTATAAAAAATTTCATGCCGGAACCGGTAATCATTATAACCAAATTTTAAAGCACCACCAAAATTGGGCAAATGAGTTTGGCTATTATAAATAGCGTACCGTTC